GACAATGATCATCTTTAAAAGAATAATGAAAAACAATTTCATACATCCCGTAAATTCTGTACAGGTGTTTTTTTTTTTTTTTGGCATGCGAGGGGTAGTTTGTTTATGTGTGGAAGGGCGTCATGTTCAACTAATAGAAATTCAGGCACACAACTAAAGTTAAAAAATTCAATAAATATTATTTAAAAGATGATTTTTACAAGAAATTAATTAAATATGTATGATATAAGCATAAAAATTACCTCAAAGAGATTTGAAATTCCAAAATATCAGTATATTTTGTGTAAAGACACCAAAAAAATATTACAATGTATATACTTCTCATTGTAGCACAGTTTTTTCAAAATATCCAGTTAAGGCAAATACATTTGTTTACTTAAATAAGATGTAAATATATCAATAACAGTTGATCACTGACCCTAAGCAGGTTGAGCTTTGATCACTCTCTTTTGGCGAGTTAAGTGTACTCTTGATAAATTCTGTCCTGCCTGTTTTGCTACCACTTTGTCATCTACAAACTGTTTCACCTCCCGCATGGCTACCCTTGGGTCTTTGGCTGATAGTCTGGGACAGTTACACTTCTCCCTAAGTTCTGTCATCTATTTAAAAAAAAATCATCTGAGATCACTCACACATGATTATTCTTACTCTGTACTGATGACGACATTCTTTCCATTAATTCCATTATGATTTGATCTTTTGAATTTCAATAAAAAAAAGTCTTCTGTACATTTATATGTACATGATCAAGTTCTTCTACAGATCAGAGATTTTATGCTAATACTTAAAGAAATTACTACATGTACTCAATTTAGGTTGCGATGTAACCAGATATTATGAAAGTTAACATATACATACTCTTGGTATCAAGAAGTCTATGAGCTCCACTCTGGTCTCATTAGAAGGATGAGTTGACATGAATTCTGGGATGCTTGTTCCTTCCACTGTCTCCTTAACCTGCATCAGAGACCAAACAACACTGGCTTCCCTCACATCAAAACAGGCCTACAACACAAAAATCATAGAAAAACTATACAGAGACCAAACAACACTGGCCTCCCTCACATCAAAACAGGCCTACAACACACAGGAAAGAAATCATAGAAAAACTATACAGAGACCAAACAACACTAGCTTTTCTCACATCAAAACAGGTCTACAACACACAGGAAAGAAATCATAGAAAAACTAAACAGAGACCAAACAACACTGGCCTCCCTCACATCAAAACAGGTCTACAACACACAGGAAAGAAATCATAGAAAAACTATACAGAGACCAAACAACACTGGCTTCCCACACATCAAAACAGGTCTACAACACACAGGAAAGAAATCGTAGAAAAACTATACAGAGACCAAACAACACTGGCCTCCCTCACATCAAAACAGGCTTACAACACAAAAATCATAGAAAAACTATACAGAGACCAAACAACACTGGCCTCCCTCACATCAAAACAGGCCTACAACACACAGGAAAGAAATCGTAGAAAAACTATACAGAGACCAAACAACACTGGCTTCTCTCACATCAAAACAGGTCTACAACACACAAAAATCATAGAAAAACTATACAGAGACTAAACAACACTGGCCTCCCTCACATCAAAACAGGCCTACAACACACAGGAAAAAAATCATAGAAGAGCTACAGAAGTCACACAATACTGGCTTAAATATACTTAAGTCTCCATGGTATAAATGTATAATGATTCCACAAATACAGGTATAATAAATTATAGATACAGTGGAGCAAGTTTTATTGTTCCTTTAATTTTTAAATCTATCTGATACACCAGGTGTGTATTTTTCCTTGTAGACAATTTTATTCTCAGTTAAAGACACAGACCTTTGCTGCCAGCTGAAGGCCCACTTTATCTGCTTCCTTTTCCAGTTCCCTGCTGAATGGCAGATCAAAATACTACAAAGAAACAGATAAATATCATTGTAGAAACCATACCAAATAAAAACTATTCCTATACATGTTTTACACATATATTACCATCTGAGCATCTCACAAGACATATGTATACCTTGATAACACGGTTCATAAACCAGGAAGTTATTGTAGCGATTCCATCACTGGGGATTATCATCCAAATAGCAGCCATGATTACAATTACAAAGAAATCCCACTTCTGTCCATAGCTCAGTTGTTCTGCCTGTTCAGAGTAGAAAGCACAATTATAATTTAAGAGGGCTGGGGGGTTGTGGCCATTTTCAGTCCATTTTGATCTCCTTTAATAGAAGAGCTCCATATAAAGATTAATGAATATGATCAAATTTTAAAATTAAAATGTAAAAATTTTTTCTTTGCCAAATGATAGTTGACAGCTTAAACATTTAAGTTGTATCTGATGGTTAATTGGTTGAACCCCCCCCCCCCCCCTGCCTCATTAATATCATCAAACATTTTTCAATAATTTTTTTTTCATACAGATAAGAGATTGGTATAAGTTGGTACATACTGCATGAGACAATAAGGCATGAGCCATTTCATGTCCAAGGATGGCAGCCAGTTGGTCCTCATTTATCACTGCATTGAAGAGTCCCGTGTTTACAAAAATCTCCCCCGTCTGAAAATAACAATGAGATATACAGTTTACATGTACAACAACACAAAGTTTTGAAGCATTTCATAACTTTATCTCAAACTTAACCATGATAAAGCTTTTCATGAAAAGTCACTCATTGATCCGTAAAGATTGAGATGTTGTTAATAATTAAATGAGAAATCTCCGAAAAATTTACTTAAACATTTACCAATACTAGATTAAAGAATCGTGATAACGAATCAAAATGGTTATTGACAAATCATGATTAAACTGTTTACCTACCGGATAAACAACAGCATTGAATGTCTTGTCATTTACAATGAATACTTTCCATTGGATATCTTTCATTTGTTGTATGTCTAAGTTATTTACACAAAGTCTTTCAGCAACTTTAATTACAACCTTGTATAGTTCATGTGTATTGGGTAAGATGCGATCTTCATTAATTTGTAAAACCTAAAAAGATTAATTTATTTCAAATTAGAGATTGTATATATGTATGCTAAATATTGATATTGAATATAGAGGGAAATTTTTGCCCCTGATTTATTTTCGCCCTTTTCACCCTTTTAATGGGTGGGCGAATTTAAAATGGGGTGAATTAAAAGAACACAGTATGATTTCATAAACAAAACTGTGACTGGGTAAATTTTAAATAAGGGAAAATTGTTTGCATTAATGCAAGTGTGGAAGGGCGAAAATAACACAGGGTGAAAATAACCCTTTATATAGTAATTTGTCTAGTTGTGAAAATTAAAGTCCAGCATAATAGAATTTAAATTGATAAGATTTTCCCATCTAAAAAACCCAAGCAGTTGGTGGTGTAATTAAGATTTACAGAACAAGATTACAATGTTTATGTACTTTTTTTCCAAGTCATCGTGTTTTGTTACATTTATATTTCAACATATTAGTACATCTGTACCGATATGAAATTAGAAATATGACATGGCTTAAACATGTAACTAATTTCTCTCAACATGCATGAAACAACGCAAACTGATTGCCACACTCACTTCCTCGACTTCTCTCTGTACAATTTTGATCAGTTGATCATGAGTGATGAAGATAAAGCGCTTCCTGCCGGTGATGGGGACGGTTTCTGTGTGAGCCCATGTGTACAAAGTAAGCGCTAAAGCTGTCACTCCCAGCAATGTAGCAGCAATTATCATTTTGTGTTTATGATGAAGCTCCTTCCAATGATTTCGAAGTTTTCTGAAAACATACAAAGAACATGTAAATCATTATCTGCTTAATTTAATCTCTACTTTTAAACAGCATTTTGTAGTTATAAAGTAAGTACAAACTTTGGTTAGATCAAAGAATAAAAAGTTGAGCATACCTAGAATATATAGTTGGATCTGTTTAGAGTTATTTTAATCTGGAAGGGGTAGTTAAATCAGGACAACTTCTTTTAAGAGTTCTTTATCAGAAAGGGGGTGGTAAAAAAAAATACAGTTGTGGATTTTTATTGTTTCAAGCTAGCTACCTCAGTTTAAGGCTATTAGAGTATGAAAATATAATCAGATGTTTTCAGTACAATATATTGTAACGTTTCACAAAGTGTACCTATGAAATTCTTGTTTACAAGTTTGGAATAAATGGACCTTGAACCCTATGTTTATTATTACTTTATAAACAACGTAAATATCTGTGAATGAACAGTTAGCGAAAGAAATGAACACTAATTGATTTAATTTGACTTTATTCATTTGACTTGTATAATTTAATGACAAAGTGATGTATTTTGTATGTTTTATATGGGTACAACGTTATGAATTTAGTAAAGGTAATTTTGATGGTCAAAACCCGCTAACTTATTGATTGTATTGATTGTGACGTCATAGGTATCTGATAGTCTCTTACGTCATCATAACAACTTTTGTCTATATAAACCAGCTGTTTTGGGCTCTGACTTCAGTCGGCTGTGGGGAGCGACTCTAAGCACACAGCCTATCCTGGTAAGGATAAAGTGACGAGTCGACAGTGGGGAGCTTCTCCGTATACTTAGGTTATAAGACAGTGGTATGTGCATGGTATCAAGTCTATGTATACGAAATTATTAAGGGAACCAAGTTAGTTGGAACGTCCTGGATTAACCATTGGTTGGTCACCTTTTTATGAACCAAATAACGTTGTATCAACCAAGTTACTGTGTACCATTTTGTGTGTTTACAAGTGAACCATTTTATCCTCACAATAAATGTTATTAACTTTGATCAAGTGTTATTCCTAACAAACATTATTTAAAGTGGACCAAAAGTTGGTCATTACGTCAACCCTTTAAGTGACCAAAAATTGGTCATTACGTCAACCAACTAAGTGACCAAAAATTGCTCTTTCCGTTAAGCAATTAAGTGACCAAAAATTGGTCATTTAGTCAACCAGTTAAGTGACCAAAAATTGGTCATTAACCATTACATAAACTGTGACCAAGGTAACCATCAAATCTCGACCAGTGACCCAAAAAACCAATAGCGGCCCACGAGCTAATTATTACACGATACTCTCGGTTTCGTTACAATATGATATTTGATGATTAAAAAAAAAACCCTCAATATCTTCTAAATTGAAATATGTCCAATCATATTACAATATTATGCTGATAATACAACCTAGTGCATGTTTATTCCCATGTACAGTCATGGGTATCAAAGGTACAAGGTACTTTCAAATATTTCCCTTTTGATAAAAAAAAAAAAAAAACAAAACAAAACAGAGATATCATACACTAGATAGAATGTTCTATCGTTAAAATGATATTGTCCTACGGACCCGGTTTAACGATAGAATTCGTTCCGTGTATTCGTAATGTAGCAGAAAGAAACACGGGCGATAACTCGCATAGTGCATTTACTAGGAACAATCTTGAGAGTTCCGAATGTAAACATGGAGGTAATTTGAATCGAGAGAATAACGTTGAGAAAATGAATGGGATTTTCGTATTTATATGGATTGTTTTTTTGGGATAAAAGGCATAAGCAATCTCAAAAAGGTTTGTTATGATTAATTTGCAAGTTATTTTCAGTGCAAATCCGTTTGTATCCTTCAAAATCGTTTCGGTGCGATTCTGCAATTTTTTGCTACATTACGAGTATATAGGCGGTATTCTAACTGTGGTGAGGGCTTGTACCGAGACACAGTTAGATTATTCTAACTAATCATACACAAATGCAACTTTCAATACAACTTCATTTGCAGTTTCAAAATTCAAGAACTAGGGCTAATCCCTTCTATTTTACAACATGAGACATATTGAAGCCCTGTCCTGAAACGCAATTCCAACATTTACCTTCCAAATATTAATGCTGATAATTTCGTTATGGGTTTTCCAAACACCCAAACAAGTGGGTGAATGTTTAGTCTATGACTCAGATGAAAATTTCGATGTTGTGTTAATATGATTCCGTAGCTCAAAGTTTGCATTAAATTTGAATTGTTTTCAATGCAGAATGATGTAATCGGTTTGTTTGCAAATCCACTCTTTCTATTTTCAAAGCACATTGAGCGTAATCTGGCCATCGTCAAAGAAGAGTTACATCTAAATCCATTTTGTAAACATATATTTTGGCTAGATATGCAGTGCCACGCTCTTATAATTCGAAACATCTTCTTTACACTGTTTACTTGCGGTTTGTGATGACAACAAATTCAAGCAGGAAATAAAATTGGCACCCTAATCATAAAACCGTCAACAATAAATGCAAAAGGGCGACTGGAAAAACCCGAAACCCCCCAATTTTTGGAGAATACCCATACAGGAGGGGTGAAACCCCAATAAAGTGGTGGAAACCCCATAAAATTGACCGTAATGGGGTACAATAAGGCTTAAGGTGATGTTTAATTGAATGATATTGACATCCGTAAATTTTTATAGCCAATTTTATCTCAGAATCGACGGAAATCGGGCGCCATTACGAGTTTACCGTACACCACGCCCGATCTAAATTCGAAGCGAGCTGTTTGTCAACATATAATATTTAAAAAATTCATAATAATTTCCACAATTATATTTGTTTTACAATGATAATAGTAAAATATTAATTATGTAATAAGTATTTAACAAAAAATGTAAGGACGTTAGCCATTAAGAAAATATGAATTTGTGTATTAATTATTATTCATATTATCCCAATGTTACCAGCTCTGGTCACGTGGAGGCCTCCTTTTTGTAGAGCCATAATTAAAAAAAAAAATTTCATTTAGGATATTTTAGAGAAGATCTGAATTTAGAGATATGAAAATATCCAAAAGCTTCAAAGCAACATTAACAAAAAAAAAATAGTAAAGATAATTCATTACTTATTTGTTACAAAGAGAACCAAAAAAAAAAAAATAAATAAATAAAATTCAAAATATGAAAATACTGAATTTATTATTCTGAATGTAGGTATATAAAAATTTGAAATTCAAAGGTTCAAAGCAACAATAATAATTAAATATAAAAATAATAATTACTTATATGTTACAAAGAGAACAAAAAATAAATCAATGTCAAAAGATGAAAATACTGAAACCTGAAATAAATAGTAAATTAAAATAATATATCAATTTTCAAATATATAGATATTTTATTTCAAAGTAACTTTTTTATGTTCTTTTCTTAGAAAAAAAAAATTTTACATCAGTTGTTTACATTTTGAATTGTCTTTAAATTACAACAAATAAGAAATAAAAGAAAAAAAAAACAGAGGAAAAAAAAAATCGCACAACAAAATAAAAGAACTGAAGTTTTGGTGGAATTTTAACTATGAAAAATGTCTGTCTAAACTGGTTGAAAGATAACTGAAATTATTTGATCATCTATAGCACAGGTATTTTATGTAATTTTACATTTCATTGCAAGCTGAATCTGTCGACTAAAAATTTCCATTGCCTCTCTGTTCAAACTAATCCCATTGACATGCCAAATGTTTTTATTCGAATTCATTAAACCCTTACATCTCCAAAATATCACATTGTACTTTCCTGGATCCATAGTACCACAAATCATTTGCCTAAACAGACTTCCAATAAATATTTTTGAACCGAATCATTTCTTAACAGTTTTTCAATAATGTTTTGGATTCCTAACACTATTTCTGACACAGAAGATGAATTTATATCTTTTTCTCCCAGTCCCACTTGTAGAAACACTTTTGTTGGACAAAATTCAACTGCTCTTCCAAAAGATTGACTATAAATAAAGCTTTTTGTTGTAGTATCTTTGTCACTGAAAGACCAGTGAATACTGCATGTTTGGTGTTGTGTTAGGTTAGAAATTAGAGTAGGATTAGTATCAGGCAGTATTCCTCCTCCGCCAGACGGGTGCAGACCAGTGAATACTGTTTGGTGTTGTGTTAGGTTAGAAATTAGAGTAGGATTAGTATCAGGCAGTATTCCTCCTCCGCCAGACGGGTGCAGACCAGTGAATACTGTTTGGTGTTGTGTTAGGTTAGGTTAGGAATGTTATTGTTTTTTTAAATGTTGCAAATTAAATTATAAATTCCTTTCTCTAAAATTTTTATTATGTTATTTTATTTCATGTATATTACTTTCATTTGGCTGTAATATTTTTATATATGAACAAAAAATTGACTAGGAATAATGATCCAGTATCTTTAAGTCTTTTAAAAATCTTTTTAAGTTTTTTTTAATTTTTTATCTTTCGGTCTTTCGGTCATCTTTCAGTCCTTTGGTTTTAATATTTTTTATGCCCCCCTTCGAAGAAGGGAGGGCATATTGCTTTGCTGCTGTCCGTCGGTCTGTCGGTCGGTCTGTCTGTCGGTCCATTTAGTTTCCGTTCATTTTCTTCACAACCGTTGCACATACTGAGATGAAATTTGGTATACAGATATATCAGATAAATATCTAGGTCAAGTTCTGTTTTGGGTACGATTCCACCGTTATGCCCCTTGGACTTAGAAAAATTCCATTTATTTGCAGTTTCCGTTCATTTTCTTTGCAGAGGTTGCACATATTGAAATGAAATTTAGTATACATATATATCAGATAAATATCTAGGTCAAGTTCTGTTTTGGGTACGATCACATTCTTTTTGTTAGAGTTATGCCCCTTGGACTTTGAAAAATTCCACTTATTTGCGGTTTCCATACATTTTCTTTGCAGAGGTTGCACATATTGAAATGAAATTTAGTATACAGATATTTCAGCTGAATATCTAGGTAAAAAATGTTTTGGGTAGGATTGCACCATTTTATTCCAATTCCAGTTTGGGGGGAGGGGGGCATAAGTGTTTTACAAACATCTCTTGTGTTTCAAAATTCAAATCATGGCTCTACACTTAAGGAGGCCTCCACGTGGCTAGAGCTGGGAACATAAGGAAACTATGAATATTTTAAGTTATTACTAATTTAAAAGGTCTTTATTTATTAATTTGTCATGAATTATCAAAATTCATATTTTCCCTATGTGTGTGCTAATGTCCTTAAAATGAAATTCTGTAAAGCATAACTGTGAGAATAGTAAAGGTTCAGTGTATATACACATGCCCTGCCAGAGGGGGGTTGGTCAGACTAGCTGGGAACCCAGGTGTTTAAACAAAAGGTGTTTATTATCAAGTTGACCAAGTGTCAACAGCTGTGTATATAGTGCATGTACACACACAGGGGTGCCTGTCTATCCCAGTACAAAACAACAGAGCTAGCTGAGGTGTGAATAATATTCTCACAATAATGTTACAATACCAACTGTACAAGAATTCACATATGCAACATGCACATTTTTATTATTTTTTATCAGACTTTTTTATTTCATAGACCTGGATTCTAATAATTTCATTGTAATGGATACATGTTGCTTTCTCATATCAATGAGTATATTTTTTTCTATTACTTGCATAAAAAAACAAAACAAAACAAAAAACAAAGAAAAACAAACAAACAAAAAAAAAAAAAAAAAAAAAAAAACAACAACACACTCTCCCAAAAAAAAAAAAAAAACAGAACCAAAAACATTAAAATAAAAAATTAGTAACTGGAAAATAATAATGAATGAATACTGAATTTAAAAATTAATTATTAAACATAGAAGAAAACATTTCAAAACAAACACCTTAATTAAAAATTAAATAAATTAACAAATTCATTCATTAGTTAATTTGATTTAATTACATGTTATGACTGATTGGAACTGAGAAAAATTACTTTATTCCTTGATTAATGGACTAGTTAAATTAAAAAAAAAACCATTCAATTAAAAATTTCACTGTAATGTTTTTCATTATAATAATTACATTAACAGATTCATTAATTAATTAATTTAATTTAATTACATATTATAAATGATTGGAATTTATAAAAATGACTTTATTTCTTGATTAATGGACTAGTTAAATTCATTAAAAAAATTCAATTAAACATTGCACTGTAATGTCTTTCAACATGATAAATATTTCATACTTCTTTTATATTCTTAAGGTTTCCTTACAAATAATTTTTTTAAAAATAATATTCATACATAATATATTATTCATATTGATCAAGATTACAGTAATTATTTCCACGGATTACTCGAAACGACTTCAGCGATCGCGAATTTAGATCGGGCGTGGTGTGCAGTATATCAAGACAAGAAGAAACCCGTCGATTCTGAGGTAAAATTGGCTATAAAAATTTACGGATGTCAATATCATTCAATTAAACATCGCCTTAGGCCTTATAGTACCCCATTACATTCAATTTTATGGGGTTTCCACCACTTTATTGGGGTTTCACCCCTCCTGTATGGGTATTCTCCAAAAATCGGGGGGTTTCGGGTTTTTCCAGTTACCGAATGCAAAACATAGAAATCCGAAATAATTATATATTTTTGTCTCTAATCCTTATTATACGCGAGAATAAAAGCAATTTCAATGATTTTGAATCATTATTTTCTCCCATTTAATTGCACACAGTAGAAAAATCAATTGAAAAATTTACTTTGATTATTTGAAATGTTAACAAACCGGATAAAATCCGAAAGAGTTTTGACCTTTATGTAAAAAAGCTAACTTCCGCAGCGCAAGTTTCAAAAAGAAATTTATTTTGCAGAGAGGGTGTTGTCTTTATTGCGCTGAATTAACTCCACTGAAAATGGTAAGAGATGAAAATTCTAATATTTATTTAACATTTTATTATATATATTTTTGTATCTATGTTTTAAGGTCTTTCGGACACACACATGCATTATAAAGGGGGTTATTTATAAATGTATGTTTCATCAAAATATACTAAAACATTTTTAACCTGACATATCCATCATCTGTTGGTGTAGTTTTCAATATTTGATTATGTAATCTCAAAGAAATATGGGTATATATACTGATACCTATTTTGGTGGAGTATTTTATATTTATTCAGTCTTCACGAAAACTTTTCAAACTAACTGGTCAGTCGGACCAGTGAACTTTCAAAATTTACTAGCCCACCAAAATTTTTACTGGCCCCTTACTTAAAAAATGAAATAAATTCATTTTCATAATGGTAAATTTATACATGTTTACATACTTCAACTTTTGAAATGCCGCCATTTTTCGCAATTTGTCGCGTTTCGGTAAGTTGTTCATTGGAACTTTGCACATTTAATGTACTAGTTAATAAATACTAGCTTACCAGTTGTTACATAAGGCCTCCTTGTTATAATAGGGTTATAATAATACCATTCAACAAGACGTGCTTATTCTTTTTATTTTATATATTAATGGAATTTACGCAAGTAAGTCAGTTGAAATAAATTTTGACTGTGTAAGATTTTTAAAATCTACAAGCCCATCGGACTTCTTGAATTTGATTTTCACTGACCCGACATCAAAATTCACTGGCCTCGGTCTTCGGACCAGTGAGTTTTCGTGAAGACTGTTTATTGCTTGGATAATCTTGTCTTACTAGTATTGCATAATTAGGTCTTTCCACCTTTCTGTGGAAAGACCTATTGATATTCTTCTGTTTATTATTCTTTTTTTTTTTTATTATTTTTCCGCCGCATGTTTTTTTGTTTCAAGATTTATCGAAAAGATTTATAGTCCATAAGAATGTACTCCGTAAAAGATTATTGCAGTTGACCCTGCGTAAATGAACCTTGACCCCTTTCGAAGTTATTGCCCCTTTTGCAAGAAATGTTTGTTATCGCTACTTCTCTGAAACCGTAAACCGCAGAGATTCCAAAACTTTATTAATGTTTACGACTGATTTAGTAGACTCTCCAATCAAACATTGCGAAAGGATTCGTAAACTCCTATAATGAATTATTGCCCCTGAATGTTTGCAATGTTTAAGAATATCAAGAACTTTTCTAAAACGACAAGGCGTAGAGACATGGGACCAACTGCAAAAGATTCATTGACCTTTGACCTTAAAATCTAGGTCAAGGTCAAAGGTCAAGGTCATTCAAAATATGTAAAATTAAGCATTTTTTATAGCTCTTTTGTTCTTAACCAAATTCTAAACTTCTTTGCATCTTTAGTATGTACTCTTAAAACCATTTCAGAGATTCCATGCTTGTCCCCTAAAATCGAACCCTCTAAAAGTTAGTGCCCCTTTCAGTGTAAACCCTTGTTATCGCTACTCCTCCGAAACCGTAAACCGGAAAGGTACAAAACCTTCAACAATGTCTGCCACTAATTTAGTACACTTCTCATGCCATTAGTGCGAAAGAATTCGTAAACCATTTTAAGTAGTTATTGCCCCTGCCAGATTATGATGTTTACGAAGAACTAAAAACTTCTTAACGACAAGTTGTTAAGACATGGGCCCAACTGCATGAGATCTTTTGACCTTTGACCTTGAAGATTAGGTCAAGGTCAAAGGTCAAGGTCATTGGAAAAATGTTAAAATTGTATGTATGCCTTTTTTTTTTAATGACCTTGACCTTTGACCTTGACCTTTCACCCCTTACTCAAAAAGTAATAAAGATTTATTCATTACCTTTATCTAGATTCAGCTTCAAGAGTTAATCTCAAGTTTATCTCCCTCTCTCTCTCTCTCTCTCTCTCTCTCTCTCTCTCTTTTGATGACCTTGACCTTTGACCTTGATAAATGACCTTGACCTTTGACCCCCTATTGACCCAAAGGTCTCAAATAAGCTTAAGGTCGTTGAGGTATTTGCAACTCTTACTCTAACAAATGCTTATATCCCCCCCCTTTTCTTAAAAAAAAAATCAACAGCAGCATAGAAAAAATGTCTACAAGTCAAATGATACGATATATCGATATAAGATTCGGAGTAAAAGCAAGAAGAGATCTTAAAGAAAGTGTGCTGAGAGTTTTAAGGTGAGTCTTTAAAATATAATGAAATTCTAGTGAAACTCGGCAAAATCTGCATTTTTTTTCTGTCTGAAATTTCGTTATTGCTGAGCATAAAAATTAATTAAAAACCGTATTGGCTATTTCTGCAATTTTTGTTAATATCATTCGATTCTCCTGCTCTATTACGACATTTTAATACCAAGTATTCTAGCTTTCTTTAGTATGTGGAATTTATTTCAATTTTATTTAGATTTAATATTAATGGAATGAACCTTGATTTCATTTGAAATTTGATTTTTTTTTTCTAGAATAACACAATTCCAAGAAATAGCGACTTTCAGCATAGTAGAAAGAAATACACGTTTCCTCCCTGTGTTTCCCATCTAGAATTACAAGTTTGGCTTTTTTTTCATGCTACTTACAACGAATTTCATGCCTATTTCGGTCAGGAATGTTAAAATCCGAACCCGATTCTCTGTTTTCCTTTTCCATAATTACAAAACTGCCTTGCATCTCTCGCTCATGTTTCTCACATGCTCTTAAATAATTTATCGCCATCCATTTCAAACATAAAACAACTCAAATCGGATGTTTTCAAACATCTCTTTAATACATGTATAATGCACATATGATGCAGGTACACATGGGACATTTCACAACGTTTTCACTTACGCTTCCGTCTTGATGCGCAGATCAAATGCATGTTATTCATATTAATAGGTATATCATAATTTTACTCAGACCCTACCCCTTACATCTTAACTTGGAAACAATCTCATTCAAGCTCATATATACACTTAGGAGCGTGTTACAATGTTTTTTATGTGCTCTCTTTGCGTGATCAATGAAATCGTGCTTATCCCCGAGTCGACTCGTATAATCCAGGAAGTCTGTCTAGGGTATATATATAGGGTATACCAACTGCGAGCCCGATCTAAAATCCTAGTAGAGAAATGAGAATTTTGCTGTTTTATTTATTTTCTTGCTTTTTTTTTCTACTTTTTTCAGCCCAAATGATATTGAAACACTTAAAAAGGTGGAAAGACGTCTCATTGTTCTCTGAACAATTAGTTTACTAGTTGTTCAGAGAACAATTAGTCTCCTAGTTTTTATTATTTTTCCGCCGCATGTTTTTTTGTTTGAAGATATATCGAAAAGATTTATAGTTCATAGGAATGTACTCCGTAAAAGATGTTTGCAGTTGACCCTGCGTAAATGAACCTTGACCGCTTTCGAAGTTATTGCCCCTTTCGCAAGAAATGCTTGTTATCGCTACTCCTCAGAAACCGTAAACCACAGAGGTATGAAACCTTTATGAATGTCTTCGACTAATTAAGAGGACTCTTCAATCTATTCATTGCGAAAGTATTCGGTGACCCCTTCAGTGAGTTATTGCCCCTGAAACTTTTTGAATTTTACAAATAATAAAAAATTTTCAAAACAAGAAGTTGTAGAGACATGGGACCAACTGCATAAGATTCATTTATCTTTGACCTTAAAATTCATGTAAAGGTCAAAGGTCAAGGTCATTCCAAAAATGAGAAAATTAGCTTTTTTTGTATCTCTTTTGTCTTTCAACATATACTTAATGTCTATGTATCATTAATATGTACTCTTAATACTGTTTCAAAGATTTCATTCTTGTCCCCTAAGATTAAACCTTTTAAAAGTTATTGCCCCTTGTGCGAAAAACCTTGTTATCGCTACTTCTCCGAAACTGTAGACCCTAGAGACACCAAACCTTCACTAATGTCTTAAGGGTCTTTAGACCTAACTTCACTGTATAAGTGCAAAAGAATCTGATGACCCCTTATATGAGTTATTGCCCTTTAACTTCTTTACACTTAATATTAAACCTTGTATCTTGAAAACTATCAATGGTAGAAGCATGGGGTCAATTGCATTGTAACCCTTGACCTTTGACCTTGAATATTTTGTCAAGGTCAAAGGTCAAGGTCATTCCAAAAATTAGAAATTAAGCTCTTTTTATATCTCTTTTGCCTTTTAACATATGCAAACAGTCTTTGCATCATTAATATGTACTCTTAAAACTATTTCAAAGATTTCATTCTTGTTCCCCAAGATTGACCCTATCAAAAGTTATTGCCCCTTATGCGAAAAACATTTTTATCGCTACTACTTCATAACGGTAGACCGTAGAGCCATGAAATCTTCACTAATGTCTTAAGTGCCTTTAGGCACACCTTCATTGTATAAGTACTAAAGGATTTAATGACCCCTTATATTAGTTATTGCTCTTTAACTTCTTTGCACTTAATATTTAAACTTATAACTATAGAACTAAAAATCATAGAGGCATGGGGTCAATTGCAATGTGACCCTTGACCTTTGACCTTGAAGATCAAATCAGGGTCAAAGGTCAAGGTCATTTCAAAAAAAAAAAAATTTAATGTTCATTTTCTTTTTTTTAAGCCATTTCCCTTAAAATTAAGTTAGAGAGTAAAATATAAAACTATAAGAAATTTTAAAAGGTGGAAAGACCTCTTATTGTTCTCTGAACAATAAGTCTCCTAGTATTTATTTATAAAATGCTCCAGAACTTCTGGAGCATTTTATAAATAAATATTATGCAATACTAGTAAATGTAATGATTAGACTATGGATATCAGCCTGGATAGTTCATTTGGTAGATCACGACATGTGATGCCAGTGATTTTCTTAGAATAGATTTGTTGCCAAATTTCTGTCGGAGGGTCCCATGCCGTCTCAAATCTCAACTGAAAATTTTCCACAAAATCTAGTGGAAGTTTTTGGAAATTTCCCAAAGAAAATCTTACAAAATCATGCAGAGGTTCCAGGTTAAATTCACAAATCTCAATTAAAAATTTTCCACAAAATGTAGTGGAAGTTTTCCTAAAGAAATCTTACAAAACCATGCAGGGGTTCCAGGTTCAATTCATGGCACAGCAATACATTTTATCTTTTTCTATTACTACACTGAAAAATATCGAATCCTCTCATCCTAATGACCTATATATAATTTATATATGAACATGGAGCACTTTGAATGGCTTTCAATTCAAGTTAGCAAAATGTTCTTGTTTGGATAAAAATCTTTTTTGAATGTAAATGTTGTTTCGTTGCCTTTGGAAAAATATATATTGTATTTTCAGAATAGATGATCAAAGCATATTACTTAAACTACAAGTTACGAGTGAAATGTTGATAATAAGCAATTCTCTGGGTCTTTATTTTTGGGAGTTGAACTATGTTCAGTCTCCCATGGTCATCACGCATTTAACGTACGCAGTAATTTGTGTTGATTATATAGAGCCGAAAGCGAGGCTACTGTGTCGACCGATTTACTCCGATGATATTCAACAGAAAACATGCATAAACATCCGCTACAAATAGTTCATGTCATTTTCTCCTGAATTGATCTAATTTTCATAATGTAAGTATACGTAATGATAAAGTAATCTTATTTTGAATATTAGATTTCGTTCAAAGTAAAACTAAATTATAAAGAACCTCAAAAGTTTTTCGTAATGGAACTCATTTTTAGTGTAGCGTCATACACTGAAAGAGATACGAACGATAACTCTACATACTGACAGCAAGCGGTAAATCTAGTCTTCCTGATGCCCGACGGTCCCGGATTTTTAGCAATTTCTTCTTTACCGGTGCACAGAATTTATTCAAACTTTTCATGAGCATTTTCTTGGTTTAAATGAATTCATTAATGCATAAAAACTTTAGGAAACATGCGTATTTATTACTAAATCAGCAGTATCACCTGCCAAAAGCGGTAAATCTAGTACTCTTTTATAAATGTTAAAACCAAAAACGGACACCGATGTTTTCGTAAAATCGCGATTAAAAAGAAAACAAAATGAAGTATATATTTTTGTAATAAAAGGAAAACCTCATTTACATACGAGATAATTTGTATGCACACAAAACTCTCACATATACCACTGTTTTTATGTTTGGTCATAAAATATTTGTTTTTAACTTGGTATTGCTTTTTTCTCCACAATATTTAAAAAAGATTAAGTTCTGACGTACTCCATGTATAATGTTCGTGTAATTGAAATACATTTATATTAACAGAGAAGTTTTATATAACAAACCTGTTAACTCTTAAAAGGATGCTGTGTTAAAATCCACATTTTATCAACATTGATATTATTCCTGCGAAACTGAAAATTTCATAACACATGGGTAAAGGTGCCAAGGAAAAATATATTACAAATTTGAAGACTGTGAGCAGTGAATTATATAAATGATCCACCGCCTCTAATATGAATATAATGGCAGTGTCCATGTTTTGCAATGGGAAACCCAAAATATGTGTAAGATGAAAATTAAAGTAATAGAAGATGTACAACGGCAATATGTAATAAAGATTCTATGAAAATTTCGTTCAGTGGTGTAAGAGGAGTTGCGGATAAGAGATGGGTATACCTAAGGCATAACAAACAGATGGATGGAAATCCCGATTAATAAATACCCTCCCGCTTTTCAAGCAGGGGGTATTAAAAAAAGGACTAATGTAGGCAGGCAAGCATTATTGCCCATGCATTTTTTTGCTATTTAATGTCTCTGAATGTCTTTCTCAAGATTGTTGCAACTCAAAAAATCTGAAACAGTTGTCTGTGTTTGAAATAATAATATAATGTTCACTCACTTAACCTCCCGATCAAATATTTTATTTTACACCATGTTCAACTCCCATGAGTGCTTTCAGTACTTTGATTCTGAAGTTGATGTAGCATCATCATTCATGTACAAATCAATAATCATATTTTAATAGTTAATCTATTTATATACTAGTATTCTGCAGAACTTTAAAATATTCTATCATAGAATGTTACGTATCATCTTTTCAAATGAGTACAACTAACGGGTTTGAACTCTGGATGTGATGATCCAGAGGGAGTAATAATAAAATTATATTGAAAATGTTTTGTTATTGTAGTAAAGATGAAATTTGTATTCTTTTTCATTACTGATGTCAATCTTTTCTAAGAATCAAATCTTGTGGTGCTTGTATTTTTAGCTCACCTCAACGAAGTTGGGGGAGCTTATGTAATACCCTCGGCGTCGGCGTCGGTGTCGGCGTCGGCGTCCCAGGTTAAGGTTAAGTTTTTTGGAGCAGTTTTCTTTTTAAGTACTTTTATGTCCTATATTGATTAGACATGCATGGAAGATGGTTCTAGTGTGTTTCATTGTACAAGTCAAAGTTTCAGATGCTGCAATTTCAGCAAAGGAATGACCAGGTTAATGTTTTTGGAGCAGGTTAACATTTTTGGTGCAGTTTTTGGTGAAGGTTTCATTTCCAAGTAACTCTAAGCCCTATGTTGACCAAACTTGCATGGATGATACATCTACGGATGCACACTACAGGGCTTGCTTCGGATGCTGAATCTGACCTACATTTTACGGTTGAGTGAACAGGTTAAAGTTTTTGGTGCAGGTTTCATTTCCAAGTAACTATAAGCCCTATGTTGACCAAACTTGCATGGATGATATATCTAAGGATGCATACTACTGGGCTTCCTTCGGATGCTGAATCTGACCTACATTTTCCGGTTGAGTGAACAAGTTAAAGTTTTTGGTGCAGGTTTCATTTCCAAGTAACTATAAGCCCTATGTTGACCAAACTTGCATGGATGATATATCTAAGGATGCATACTACTGGGCTTGCTTCGGATGCTGAATCTGACCTACATTTTCCGGTTGAGTGAACAAGTTAAAGTTTTTGGTGCAGGTTTCATTTCCAAGTAACTATAAGCCTTATGTTGACCAAACTTGCATGGATGATACGTCTAAGGATGCACACTACAGGGCTTGCTTCGGATGCTGAATTAGACCTACATTTTCCAGTTGAGTGAACAGGTTAAAGTTTTTGGTGCATGATTCATTTCCAAGTAACTATGAGTTCTTTAATGACCAAACTTGCATGGATGATACATATAAGGATGCATACTACCGGGCTTGCTTCGGATGCTGAATCTGACCTACTTTTTGTTGATGAGTGAAAATGTTAGTTTTTGATGCATGTTTCATTTCCATTTGTTAACTATGAGCCCTATAATGAGCAAACTTGCATGGATGATACATCTTAGGATGCACACTAATGGACTTGCTTCGGATGCTGAATTCGACATACATTTTCAGATAATAGACCAGGTAAAAGTTATGGTTGCAGGTCTATTACCAAAAAAACTATAAGGCTTATATAACATTGTATAAACCAAACTTGCACAAATGTTGCATCAAGAGATGAAAACTCTCAAATTTGCTTCAGATGCTGGATTTTAATTACATTTTCATGAAGAACTAGTTTAAATTTTTTATGTAGGTCTATTTCAAAATCAGATTAAAATTGCTTAAATATTTTCATTTTTGGAATGTACACTTCTAGTTGGTTAATTGTGTGACTTTGCCTTACTTAAAGACAACATTCGTTGAGGTGAGCTCTGTAATCTCTGATTACCTATGTTTTATATGTTCTATCCATTTAGAAACACTCTAAAGAGGGTCAAAAGAAAAAATCAACAACACCAAAAAAGAAGAGCTCTTTCTCCTCCAAACTAGCCACTGCTAGAACAAGTTCGGAGTCAAAAAATCATCCTGAGGACAAAACAAGTAGAGTTACTTTTGATGTTAAAGGAAATGATCAGGATGTCTTGGCTGGGGAAGACAGAAATGCTCCTTGTGCCATGGATACTGACGATGATCTTCCAGCCACACAGCCTATTGATGACAGAGTTTTGAAAGGTTTGAGAATAAGATGCATTGTATTTAAGAGAAGGAAAAAAGGCTTTAAACATTATAAATTTATACATAGTAAGATCTCTTTTGACAATGAAGTAGATCCTTCTTAGATTAGTTATATCTGAACATTTTAAACATATATTATATTTAAAATTGTTTTTTGCATTAGAGGTACATGATACTATACATGTCCTTATGTGTAAAAATAACCAATTATTTTCACAGATGTTGTGGCCTATGTGGAAGTTCGATCCACCAATGATAACAGAAGTAAAGCCATCTGTAGAGAGCTTGTACAGCTTGGTGCTGTGGTTGCGAAAACGTTTTCAAATGATGTGACTCATGTTGTACTCAAAGAAGGTAGCAAGCGCACAATCACCAAAGCTACAAAGAAAGGGGTTCACTTAGTCTCAGTTCTCTGGGTTGACAGGTTAGATGCCATTTAACAATCTTTGAATAATTTTTGTGTCTATGATA